CCCCAAAACCCCAAAACCCCAAAACCCCATAAGGAGTAATATCGATTATATTTAGAAATTATATCTCAATCGATTAAAATATCTTTATATCACAACTAACTATAATTATAGATGGTCGAAAAATCTAACATAATGGAATACAGATACCTTGGTAAAACAGGTTTGAAAGTTTCAATCATTTCATTCGGAAATATGGTTAATCACTGGGGTGATAAACCTTAAGAGACTAATGATGCTATTGTAGCTAAATGTCTTGAGTATGGAATAAACTTCTTTGATAGTGCTGAGAGTTATGGAGGTGGTAAGGCCGAGGTTATTCTAGGGTAATCTTTCTAGAACTTGAAACTAAACAGAAAGGATCTAGTAATTTCTACAAAGCTATTCTTTGGAGCTGGTGGCACTTTCGCTAAACCTCATCCTAATAATAGAGGATTATCTAGAAAGAAGGTAATTGAGGGAGCAAAAGCCTCTCTAAAGAGAATGCAATTAGATTACGTGGATATAATATTTGCTCACAGGTATGATTTCCACACACCTTTGGAAGAGGTCTGCAGAGCTTTCTCATGGTTGATTGAAAATGAGTATGCTCTATATTGGGGAACTTCAGACTGGTCAGCAGATCAAATTTCTTAGGCTATTACCTTGTGTGAGAGTCTTGGACTCCATCCACCTGCATGTGAATAACCCAACTATAATATGCTCGTCAGAGACAAGTTTGAAAAGGAATATGGACAAGTTTTCGCAAGATTTTAATATGGTTCAACAGTATGGTCACCTCTAGCTATGGGAATTCTTTCTGGAAGATATAATGATGGAACAGCCCCTGAAGCAGGTAGATTTACTAATGATCCTACATACAAAGATACTGTGTTGAATTAGTTCTTCTCTCCAGAGAAAAAGGATAAGAGTATCAAGATTCTTTAAGACATAAAAGCACTTGCTGAGGAAATGGGATATACACAACCAGCACTCGCCATTGCATGGGCCTTAGTGAACAAAGATGTTTCAACCTTGATTCTAGGTTTTTCTAAGCTTTAATATGTTGATGAAAATTTGAAGGCTCTTGAAATTTACAAAAAGTGGAATAAAGAATTGGAGGCTAAGATTGAAGCAATATTGAAAAATGCTCCGTAATTAGACATGGATTTCAGAAACTTCGCCCCTCTAACCTCTAGAAGATAAGTGAGTCTAAATCAGAAGATTACAGAATGAAGAAAAATCTTAGAAACAACAAAGTTTTTAACAATTCTATTATTTGATAAGATCACTTCAATCATTTAATAAATTATCACAATTTCCTTTTTATCTCTGAAAATCGGGGTTTTGGGGTTTTGGGGTTTTGGGG